CCATCCAACAACTCATCTTATTTGTGGTGCATATCAGAGTAAGTTGCAAACATGACTACTCTTCTGCAATAAATAAAACTATTGGTTTTTGACTTCTGTCCTCTGAATTTTTACCTGACTGGGCTGTGTCAGCCCACCTAGGTAGACGGGAGATCAAAGAGAAGTCTTTGGCTCTTTCTATGGGTGCTTTATCCTCCCAATCCCTCATCCCCAGGCGCTGACTCTTTAATTACAGTGATGCTTAGTCTGTGCACTTAAGTTCCTAGAAAGTAGAAAAGGAAGTTTTTACAAATCCAGTTATCCTCTAAACTCTAGTATTTGAGATGGAAAAGACTCCTGCAGGTAGCGCAGGTGGAAGAGTGAAAAAAAAAGTCCCCTAGACATGTAAGCAATATAACCTGTGTCTACATATCCAGATTACCATATATTGGATTGACTTAAAGCAAAACCGCACCTTTAGTAACATAGCGGGGGGCACAGAGAATACAGATGGTCTCTGCTTTTGGATACAAAATATTCCCAGAAAGACCATCACCGCTGTCCCAAACTGTAAGAGTTAGAGGCAGAAACTGCAGTGGGGGAAGTTGGTGAGGAGTGAGGTAAAGTTTTTTAGCTGGTAAATGGATATTATCAAAACCAGAGATTGCCTTACTAGGATTTACAAAACAACTATTACTGCATCTTTTTACTGTGTGTAGTTTTCAAGCTTAAGGAATGTGATCCGCCATTGTAATAACAAGCCTGGGTACAATGGGGTTGTTTTGCCTCCATTTTCATGTCTGTTGTTGTATTTATGTTTAAGTTTTAATTGATGTTTTGACCATGTGTTTGCCCCGAGGAGGTTTTGTGAAGGCCTTCATTTTTAAATAAATTTTTAAAATGATATATTTAATGTACAGTAAGCAAATATATCCTCCTTAATGTACCCAGAAGTAAACTCTTGTCTGTGCACTAAAACTTCATGTTAAAATATCTACCCAGTAGCACCATAAACGAACCAAAGACGTTATCTTAGAGACTTGAGAGAAGGAAACTCAGCTTGGGAAGAGCCAGTGTAAGGAATGAATTCTCAGATCCAGGCGTTGCCTGAACAGAAGAAGGAAGAAGACTGAAGCAGCTGTGAAGTGGGCAATACTACATAAGCTCCTGATTAGGGAACAGCACGTGAAGGAGAAAGCCTTGCAATGACCAGCCCGAGAAGGCAAAAGCTGACCTATTTATATCGCTCCACTCCACATAAGAGCTGGTGCAATAAGGAAATGAATCAGAGGAGAGAGGCAGAGAACTTATTTTAAAGTGTTATCGTCTGATTTTTACAATGTGGAGGCTCTCTGAATTTCTTTCACTGAAGACAATTAAGTGCTCTTGCACCTCCAAGGATCTTAGAGATAAGAGTGTGGCCATCCTCGCCTTCTGGAGTCAGTCTCTGGAGGCTGCACAGCAAGGATGGAAGACTGTCGGCTCCGTGGGTTACCTGAGTGATGGAGGCTTGCCTCTTTCTCAAGAGTCAGGCAAATGCATCTCATTTTAATTTGAGCCTCAGACACAGGGAAGCTGTTTAGAGCAGCTACTTATCTACTGGCATGAGGCTAGTAAAAATAAGTGCTCATTACTTTCTATGTTGCCACTCATATAACCTTATAGGAATTCTCTATGGGCTGGTAAATTGTAGTACTTATCTACAAGGCTGTTTTGCAACCAAGGAATCTACAGGGCAACTATTATACTAACACTTAAATCAATCTTTCATGCTTATAGTTCTGTCTCCAAGATATTCCGATGGAAGTAGGCATCACACAAAGGACAGGAGGAAAGGTGTAATTTAGTAGAAAAGGATGAAAAAAGAACAACACTTTTCCTTTTAACCAATGCTTTTGGAATGAGGTATTTAAAGAAAAATCTACCAAAATGATGGCTCAGTTAACAAGGAAAGATAGCTTCCTTCCATCCCCTCTGTTTACACATACTATTGTTTCAGCCCATGATGTTTTGTTTACTTTGGAAGGAAATAGTTTACCCCCTCTGAGATAATTAATTTTTGTCAGCTTCACTGTTTATAAGGGGAACTGAAAAACTGTTAACTGAAATACAGAATGAGTCACTGTTTTCAGTAATTTTTGGCAGCATTCTAATTTGTGTCAATCCCAGCCTAATTATTAGAATTTTTGGAAGCAGAAAGCATATTTGATTTTTCTCTTACTAAATTTTTCCTCCTCTTTTGAAAAGTATGTGCTGCCTGACAAAGGTTATATAATTTATACCAACGTGAGGTGAAATACCAGTAGGTTTGAAATACCAGGGGGTTACTGTGTCATGCTTGGCTCTTCACAGTAGCTCAACATTTAGAAAGCTCACAGAATACAATCTTCCTCCTTTCCTCATTCATACCCCCAGCCCTGGCCAAAACAATGTGATTCTTTTACAGACCTTTTAGCTGGTATTAAGCCATAGTATATGGCCCATCACTAATGACATCACTGAAGTAAACTTCCCAGAAGCCATCAGGGAGAATTCATTTGGAAACGCAACTGAATGTCACTTGCAAAGGGCAGGCTCCTAGAAGAGGTGACCAGTCATGCATTCCTGAGTTATTTGTTATAAAAGCATTAATCACTGCGAACTCATTTGCTCCTAATGCAAACGCGCTACACTATTCCACAGGAATTCTGTTCCAAATGATCATTAATGTAGAGAACGGAAGCTGCTGTGAGCAGGGATAATAGAGTATGTCAGGTCAATGGCCAGTATAATGGGGCTGTTAGTGGTTCCTGACAGAAGTCGGACCTTCCTGATAGAGCGACGGTGGGCAGAAAGGCAGGCAACTGTACTGGGTAGACAGCCCCATCCCTGGCCTCCTGAAGTGGCCTCTGGATTAAAGGGGCATCAGTGTCTATCACAGGGTATTGCTAGGGCTCTGAGGTGGCCACCACTGGGAGCATAGGCACGAGCTGTGCGCGGGAGAGGGACCCATGGGACGGCCACGGGGATGGCCCTGCTCCCACACTCCAGCCGCTTGCAGGCCACAGGCAAGGGTGCAAACAGACACCTGCTGCTGTGGACACCCCAGCCACTTGCCTCACCCCACTCCACACTGGGCCACCCATGAGGGGAAGGATGAGAATCAAGAACAACAGTGATCATCACAGCTAATGCTCACTGGACTCTCCTGGGCTGAGCACTAAGCCCTTTACACGCACTAATCCCAATCCTCAGGGCAGTACCTCTGTGACATGCGTACTATTTACCGTCACGTTTTACAACCGAGGAGGCTGAAGTTCAGACACCTCGAGTAACTAGTCCAGGGTCAGAGTCAAAAATACGTGCCCTTAAACACCATGCTCCTTTACTGGAGGGAGAGACAGAGAAACTGGAGATTTTGGTCCCTAAGATTAGGCCAAAGAAAGATGCAGGATATGACAGTGGGCCTGGAAGTCTTTCCATTGTGTGGTCAACCAGTCAGTATATTCAGGACCAACCTTGCAGAAAGTCTGTAAAAGCTGTGGTTTGTCCACAATGCTCTTCCTCCAAGATTTGCTTCTAAAATGTGGGTACCCAGGGCCTTCAAGAAGCCTGACTGCTCTGTGCCACTGAACTGCAGGCTCCCTCTGCCCAGTACTGCCCTATATTTAAGACCTGTGCTTCCTCATCCCACCCCTGCTCCATTAAAACTTGTCGCATTTCTTGTCATCAGAGGGTTCTGATCTCCTGACTGGACCCAAGCTAGCACAGGTAGAGCAAGAAGAAGCTACCACCTCCTGTGGATGCCTCTGAGCACCAGACTGGTATGACTGACAGCAAAGGCCAGCCGGAGTCAGTACCCAGGGTTCCAGCAGCACAGCTGGGCATGGGAGCATGGTGACATGGGCACTGTGACATTCCTAAGCCCCAGCCCCTATTGTAATTGAGGTGCTGGCACAGCTGTCTCGGGGCTCAAGAATGGGACTGGGAGGGAGCTTGCAAGTGGAAGCTACGGATGCAAGAGGCTTCCAAGAGCTAAGGAAACTGGGGAGCAGGGATGAAAGAGGAATGATGTAAACGTAAAAAGTATAAAATACTAACACTATGAGATGTTACCAATAAGCACAGAGTGTGGCAGAGGAACTTAATAAATGTGTTTAAGAAATGAAAGGACATTGCAAAGAGACTCAAGTTACCTTTCCCAGATCAGTTCCCATAACCAAGAGAGGAGTGGGACTCAGAAGTCTTCACACCCAAAAACACCACTATTCCTTGATTATGTCATTTGAAAAAATCTAGTGTTAAGAGTCTGAAAGATGTGAGAAAACAGATGGTTATAAAGAAGGAGGTGAAGCAGGGAAGGAAGTGGGGGAGAACACAGAGGTTTCAGAGGGAGACTCTCACACCCCCTACAGCACCCATCACCTGTCGACAGGACAGTTCCACAGTGCCAAGTGCACTGCTAAATGTGTTCTCGGCCTCTCCCCGCACCGAGCTTACCAATACGCACCGTAAGTGTTAGACTACATGGCACAGCATATAAATGCAGCAGAACTGAGTGAGAGAAATTAGCAAGAGGAAAATACAGAGACAGCATCATGGAAGATTGTACTGGCTGTGAACACCATGGACCATATGAATACAGGGAGAAAAGACACACTCCATACAGTCGAAGCATGAACAGAAGTGTGAAGGGGGAGCAAACATGCCAAGTGCAAAGAATGAAGGAGACAGCCTTGTTCTATGAAGGAGTGTGTGTGTGTGTGTGTGTGTGAGTGTGTGAGTGTGTGTTTGTTAGGAAGGGGGTGATAGCATATTATAAAGAGCCTTGGTAGCCAGACAAAGGAGTCTGGATCAATATGGTAGGCAGTAAGGACCTGCTGTAGGTCCTTGGCATCCAAGGAGTACGATCCAAGCCAAGTTTTGGAAAGTTTCATCTGGTATTTGTGTAAGAAGGTAGACTGGAGGGGAAGAGAGAATTAGGGGTGCTGGAGGCAGCCAGGGCACCTTGGATTGATGATTTGTCGTCTTTTCTCCTGCAGCACACATCTATATTGCCCTTCTCTCTGGCTGAAGTCATCCTCAGGCCACACTGCTATCCACTGAAGAAGAAAGGACTCGCCTTGTTGGCTGTTGCTAGCCTTGCTTATGTCAGCAGGTAAGAGTTGCAGAGAGAAAATCAACTTAGACTTGTCATTCCAGACTCTGAGGAATATTCCAGAAGAAGCGCACTGTTCTATAAGAGTGCCTTTATCTTGGGTTAACAGGGATTTTGCCATCTTTAAATTTCAGGAAAAAAGGAATCTTAGTGTTTCCTTTTGATACTCATGGAAACATCAAATGCCCAAGAATACACAGGTATGCGTGCACACACACAGCAAGTTATGAGTTCCCCCTCCCTCTCATGAAGAATTAATCGTTGTAAAGCTACACATGTTACTTTCCCTAGGAAAACATTAATCTTTGGTTTCATTTGTAATTAACATGTTTGAATGGCTCAATGATCTAAGGCATCTAAATATATTCCATCTAAAAGGGCACTTGACAAGTTGATCAGGCAAGGTTTGGTCCATTCCTGTTGCCTGTATTATTATGGGCTTAGTTGCATCAACATCTGGCACTGGAGCCCTGAAAGGGCATTTGGGCAATTGCCCAGGGGCCTGTAGAACAGCCTAACTGGAGGCATGAGAGAGAATTTAAGTAGCTGGCCTAGATTTCATCATTCAACCACCTGGTGACACTAATTCTCAGGAATTCTGCCCAACGTCTATAATCAAGGGAAAGTGCTTGGCCTTCCACCTAGCAACTGGAGAACCCCCCTTTCTACTCTACAGCCTTCTCCCCCACAGCCGTGCTCTTGCTCTACTGGGCGGGGCATGCCAAGCATAATACCCGCAGTTGGAAGCAAATCATGATGTTCCTACTCTAGCCTAGCCTCACATAAGCTTTTCACATCTGCCAATCCGGATAATCCCCCACTCCCTATGTGAGGGGTAGTTTCACTCAGGGCAGTGCTCTGTAGGAGACAGAAGCCAGGTAAAGAACGCATTCCAAAGGACTGGTCTCCAGCAGTGCCTGCTTCATGAACTTCAGCAGCCTTTGTCTTAGAGCCAGTAACCTTTGTGCCCAGAACTCAGGTGACGGTTCCTCCCTAGCCTTTCCTTCCCTTTTGCAATGTATGTTCCTCCCACCCTTCTGCACCCTTCTTTCCCCGAGTGCCTAAAGTCGTTCGTGTTTCACCTGTCTTAAAAGAAAGCACTTGTTCAGTAAATCCACTCCAAGACTCAATTGATTTACACTGTTCACTAGCCTGGGGCCTTTGCATTTTAACAAAGGACACTTTTAGAGAATAAGGCATAAATTGGGGACCTACTGGTAGTTGAGGTCTGGAGCACTGTGTTGAGAAGGATTCTGAGGCCCTACCAAAAGAGCTGTGCTATCATTTAGCAATATCTGCCTATAGCATGTGAATGGAGAGTGGTGGGACATGCGCCATGTATATTCCAAGTCTGGCTTAACCCAAAGGAATAAATCCCTAAAGACAGAATATCTAGGACCTGGGGTCGGGTAAGATATACACAAAAGATATATTTTTTTCTCTTGTATGTGTTGAGGAGAAGCAGGGTGGTAGCTGGTTGATTATGCACATGAATTTCCATACTCTGTTTATTTGGTGGACTTTGATTTATACTTTCTTGCCAAATATAACTTTCAGAGTTCATATATGAGATAGCACTTTTGGTCTATTAATTTTCTTCTACCTAAGGACTTGGAAGTTGATCATCAATCTTCATATCTACCCTTGCTCTTTTCCTCCTCAGAAACCAAGAAGGTAACAGAGCACCTAAGGTGACTGGTATTGGGGGAAAATCGTGGCACCCATAAGGATGAAAAGTAGTGGTCGAGAGGGTCTGGCTCATTGGTGCCTGGGCGTGAGCTCTGACAATGCAGGGGACTGGGGTGCTGGAGAAAGGAGGTGCAGCAAGATGGTCAGGAGTGAACACATCACACGTCCAGTCGATTATTCCTCAGTGCCAGGCACTGTGCTAAGGTATGAGGATATAGAGATGTACAAGACACCATGCTGCCTTTAGGGACTGCCTGGGAGAGAGGAAAGTACAGAAACAATGGGAAGACAGGGTGGTGAGACTCTAACGGGGATAAGCGCAGGGTGCTGGGCGATGTGGAGGACTGGCTTCTTAAAGGAAGTGGTGTCTAATCTGAGATGCAAAGAATAAGTAGAAATAAGTCAAAAGAGATATGGAAAAGGCTTTCAGGCAGAGGGAATAGCATCTGTGAAAGGCTGGAGGAGCTGAGGGCGTGGCTGAACTGTAGGACGGGGAGAAGTTAGTGAATTTGGACTTTGAAAATGAGGGCTTTTCTATGCAAAAGTTATAAGCAGAGAAGTGAAATAACATGGCTTATGTAAGAAAGATGATTAGAAAGATGATGCTGGCTGAAGTACGGAAATTAAAGAGGAGTCAGACAGGGAGATCAGTTGGTGGCATTTGTGGTAACTCAAGAGAGTTGATGTTGGCCCACAGATGACAATATCAATCAATCTGCAAATAGAGTCAGAGAGGGTGGGTGGTGGAAGGTGACTCAGAGATCATCCAGCTTCGGAGACCTGAAGCCCCACTGGGCTAAATGACGTGTCCGAGGTCGCGTGGCTGGGGAAAATGAAAGCTGAGACTTAACTCAAGGACTTCTATTTCCAAATCCAGTTCTCTTTTCCGTGTATTCAGATGGTCAGGTATTTGTTCAGCTCCCTGTTTGTGTAAAACACACTCTGCTAAATGCTGAAGGGGTGAGAACGCAAAAAAGCTTTACCATGATCTCTACAGTCTAAATGCTTTCACGATGTTGCTCCTTCCAGTGCTGTGCTCTGAGTGTATGTTACAGTGATGTAATGGGGCAAATGAAGGGAAGGGATGGAGACCTACCACTAGCAGGAATGTGAGACTGGGTAGACCCTGGCAGGGAGCTGAAGTGGTTTGGGATTTGGACTTTCTTATCACTAGTGAAGTACAGAGTCAGCGTTCTGTCCAGTAGGGCCTCATGTTTGCTGGAGTGAAGCAAATACACCTGTGCGCAGGCGTTTTATGCTGCCCTATTGATTGAAGCTTCCCTCCCTGTCCGTTGCCTAATTAGGGGAGCTCAGACTCCTTGCTGCCAGCTGCCTCCACCCTTACACAATACTCTGGGGGCACATGCACCTTCATGGCCACGGATGGTCAGCAACAAGTTCCACAAGCTGTGGATGTCCATGGAGATATTTTAGGGAAGCGGCTATAGGTCAGCTGTTAGGCGTGCCAGTTTGGATGCTCAAATGGGGAAACAGCATAGCAGGAATGAGGTAAAGAATACAGTCCCGGGCCACAGAGAGCGTGAGAAACAAACAGGAGTCAAAAAAACGGCAATAACCCTGAGCTGGAGAAGTACTTCACTGCTGGAACCATGTTACAGTGACCTAAAAATATCCACCAAGACCATGGGGACTGCCTCATATGTGGCACTTGCTTTTTATTATTTTTCAGATTGCAAAATTGGAGGGCTGGCCCCTAAGCGGGAAAATAAAGCTTTGCAAAGTAGTAATAACTGTAAATCTTTCGTTTCCTTTGGAAAGCATTAGTCATCTATATATATGGTAGCTCACTTACTCCCCACTTCTCTCTCACCCCAAAACACATCGCCTAGCTCTTCCTAAGGAGCAGGAAAATAGAAACGTTCCTACTGCTGCCTCTTACTCATTCTTTTATTGAACAAATATTTCCCCTAACACAGGGCTGGTCCTGCTGGGAAAAGCAAAGTTATATAAGGCCAAGCCCCAGCCCGTAGGGGGTTTGTACCTCATAAGTGGAGATGAGCCATGCATACAAATTATAAGAACACGAGATGGGAAGGGATAAAATGTCATAACAAATACGAGGTGCCAAAGGGAACACAAGGAGGAAGCAGTTACATCTGACTGGGCAGCGTGGGAAGGACTTCATGAAACGTGTCACTGGATCTGGGCCCTGAAGGACTGGCTGGATTGGAGCAGCAAAAACTGGGAGAAAGCGAACACTACACAATCGCAAAGCCAAGGGGGCACACATCACGTTGAAGCAATGGTTAGCAATTCACTTTAGCTGGACCTACTGGTGAAAGAGACGAACAGGAAATCACCCTGAAACTGCCCACTCACAGAGTCCTGCAGGCAGCAGGCTAGAGGAGGCTGGACATGGTACAGACAATGTGAGATGTGTTTGCTGCTGTTGTTTGTCTGCCATGGAGGTAGGAGTGAGAATTCTTAATAACATGGCCAGAGAATTATGCTTTAAAATGACTATCTTGACAATAGAGCTTAAAATGGATTGAAGTGGCAAGACATGGGAAGCACAACAGAATAAAGCAACATACGAATAAAGGTTAGCCGGAATACTCTTAAGTCATCTAGTTCAATCACAATGGTTTATTCTTCATCCACGGATATTTCACAGTTCCAGTGTCATCCCATATCTGGATGCTTGGAACACCCTTCTGCAGGTGGTCCAGTCCTCCAGGACCTCCATCTCTAAAATATTCTAATAATCCAGTGAGTGCTCACACATGCCCATGTAGTACACAGTCCTGAGAATCACTCTCCCACACAGACTGTAAAGCCACAATACCCAGCCTCCTGGATCCAGCACCTCCACGGGGCTTGCTTTAAGGTTAGCACGCCTCCCCCGCTGCTGTCACTGCCAACAATGCCACTGCCCATTAGTCTCCTATGTTGATGCAAGTAGAACAATGCTACTGGCTATTGCAACAGCCCCAGCTGGCCTGCAGTGCACCACTGCCTTGCTCTTGGTAGACCAGAAGTCAGCTGATGCTGTATTTGTCTCTGCTAGTGTGTAAGGTATTGCATGCCAAGTGCAAGTATCATACAGATATACAGCTGTAACCCAGCCTGGGGAAAGATATTTTTAAAGTCACCTCTCAATAGCAGTTCCTATGGGGCAAGAGAGATGATTTCTTTCTTCTATTCTATGCTCACTCAGGTGAGGCCCCAGAGCAAAGCTGCCTGGACACCCCAAGTGTAATAACCCTCTAAATTCGTGCACCCGTTTACACATGCACACTTACACATACAGACATCTTACGCCCAGAAGCCATTAGAAACTGCCAGAGGGG